GAGCTGTGGAGAGGAACAGAAAACAGCAAAGAGTCTATGAAGAAAAAAAAATGTGTTGATTGTTAAAGTATACTTTCATAACTGTATAATACAAATGAATGTCTATCCATCTTAATAGTACATTCTAATATGTGTATTATATAAATATATATAAATATTATATTTATATATTATATAAATATATGTAAATATAATATAGGTATTAAAAATTCAGGATAACTCGGATTTAGAAAAGCACTTCTTGTTTTAAAAATGAAGAGGTTAATTTTTTACTCTAGATACTGCTATGTTTATTTAGGAAGCATGCATTAAATTCAAAGTAACAGATAAAGTAGAGATAGTTGGAAAAATTTTTGAAAGATTAATTTTTAATACTAGATAATAAAACTCTTACTCAGCCTTGACTAATTAAAGTTACAGTGACATTAATGATCACTTACAAAGACATTTAAATGTTTTCAAAAGATTTTGATTTCAAATAACCTCTGATCTTTTAAACTTTCTTTTCATTAAATTGATCAGCTTTACTGTGACAGGAATAAGCTGCATATTAAAACATGTTTAATGAGAAAATAGTTATTTTAAATAGTAATAAGCTCCTACACTTCTACACTTGACTTTACGTCAAATACAATTGAATGAGCATAAGAGGTGACTTTCAAAAAATGTTTACAAATCTTATCAACCCAAAATACTTAAATGGTAATATACATTGCCTACAGAAAGTCATCTAACCCATGAAAACTCCCTGCTTTTAAAAGACCTAAGAGATAAAGCTGTAGATAGGCAAAGGTTAGGAGAAGGCTACAAAATCATTTTAAAGGCTGTGAAAGTTGTTTTAAATGTGATTTGATTTCAGGCTGTATGCCAAATAAAATGACAAAGTAATTATTTAAATTTAAAGGGGTGTGATGACTCTATAAAGGCACTGTATATATTCTTAATATGCTTCAATTGTAATGTCAACTATTGCTTTTTTTTCTTTTTAGCTGTCAACATATATTTCCCCACATTTTTTATTCCAAGAACTGGAGATATTGTTCTTCTGCTGCTAATATAATGCTTGTATTGTGCATCAGTGTGTGTAATTGCCTTTTTAAAGGTTACTCTACTCCTCACCTCGTCAGGGCAGAGAGAGGTCATGGCCCAGGCTATGGTAGAACGCAACCCGTTGTGTTTCATATAAGAACGACTGGCCAGAGGATGCCTGAAAAATACATGCAAACTTAGAAATAAATTTGACAGCCTCTAAAGTCTTATCTCTGGAGAGTTACTTACTTCAAAAGAGGAATGCCTACAATGCAATGGTCATCACTTAAATACACATTGACCTGGTTATGCAAAAAGAAAACATAACAAAAACACATTAGTGAATATATAGCATTTGTAAACATGAATGAACATTTTGAACTTTCTATTTGATTTATGATGCAAGTGAATTTACCTCAAGAACAGGCTCTCTCAGGTCTACTTTCCACCCAAGCTGTTCTTTAATGGCCATCCCAATGATACGACTCAGTCTCTACACACACATACAACCACAACCAATCACGTTCATAAGAAATTTTACAGCCAGGTCCACATTTGAGCTTTAATTGCTGCTCTACCAAATGGTTGAGCATATTTTGACTGTTTTAAATTAAAGTGATTTATAGAATGACTGTTTTAAATAATGGTTTAAACACACCATTTTTGGTTTACAAAATAAAAATCAAACAAACCCAATCCTGTTGCACTACTAAACTTGATTTTGGTTTTATTGTAAAAAAACATCAAGAAGATATGTTAAATGAGAATCTGAAATATTTTATGACATACTTCAAAACATAAAGACGATTTAATGTTCAAAAATGTTTTATTTTGATTATGTTTTTAGTTAAATTGGTCTTACACTTCATATTTTCATGTATTGATTCTGGTACTTTTTACCATAAACCGACATATCAACCATTTGTAGAGGATGATATTTTAGAAATGACAGGATGTGTTAAAAAATTCATTGAATGTGTTACCTAGCGACATTAGGAGATAAGAAATGCAATACAATTTTTTTTCTTGCTGGGGCAGTAAAAAGTTTAATGAAAGTTCTTCAGTTTAATTTTTGTTTTAATTACACGTGTGAATTACAAATATTAATATCTGCATTACAACTCGCTCTGACAACTATTCTATAGTCTTCTAAGTAAAGTTTGCTACAAAAATAATAAGAATACTTAAAGAGTCTGTTGTTACTACATTAAACACTTGGGGTACATATTGACCTGGAAGAGATATACTGTATAATTTCTATTAAAAATGCAAGGTTTTTAGTTAGGGACAAAAATTAGCAAATACTTTAACCTATTATTAATTCTACAAGATTCTTTTATGAGATATAACTATTTAAAATCTAAAATATATAGAAAGTTCTGTTTTTAGGATCATTTTGCTTAAATCTTGATATTTCCTAGGAATAAATATGCAGGATTTGTGTATTTAGAATTATTATAGAATTTAAATAAACTTCATCATTTTAATTCCAATCTAGACATGGGTCGGTATAAGATTCTGACGGTATGATAATGAATAAAATATCACGGTTTCATGGTATTGTGATTACTGCTCTAAAATATATTATTTTTAAACGTCTGGGTAAAAAAACAACTTTCTCCCCCTTTAAACACAATATATTCTATTTTGGGAAACATTTAAGATATTTTGGAGCAGTAAACATGTCAGGCTAAATAATTCAAATAAATCATTGACTTCTGCTGTTTTTATTTAATTTTTATTTAATTAAAATGGTATCTTTGGAAATCTTTTCTTCTGGAGATACTATTGTCCTAAAAAACAAACAAGGAAAACATAATTAAAAAAATCTTTCACACACCTTAGGAACGGTATAGGAGAAAATGTTGGCAGTTTCAACGCCTTGACTTTTCCCAACCACAGTATACCTTGAAAATGATTATCACCCCATGCCAATTCCAATCATTCAAATTATTAAGATTGTTGTTTTATTTATTTATTCATACCACATGTATAATTTCATATTTTAAAGGATTTTCTGATTCTTTAATTAATTACAATGGGTAAATGCAGTATTAACATAGTAAAGGCATGTTTATATTCCAAATGTCCAAACAGATAAGATATGTGAAAACAGTATACAGATTTTAAAACTGTTTTATTTGAGTTGTTGTGTACATATATACACAAATAAAAACTGGTATATAAAACAAGGTATAATGTACCTGAGGGTTATCAGAGCGGGCAATGACTCCACTACAGCGACAGCTCACTCTGAAAGAAAGTGTCTGCAGATGAGACTCTTTTCCCACTTCCTTTTGTTTCTCTAACAAGTGTGTGTTGGAGGAGACGGTGTGTGTGGATCCATCAGCTTCAGTCACACTCTCCTCCTCATCTTCCTCTCTCTTTCTCTTGTGTCCTTGATCCCGTCTGCACTCCAGTTCTTCCTGAAAGGCGGTCCAGGATAAAAGAGTCTGTTTCCAAATGTCTGGATCTCCCACAACTCTCTCCTTTATAACAGCAGCTGCCTTTCCTATAAAGATACAATCAGTAAAGAGTTAAACGCAATGTAGTATAAATGTTTTGAAAATGTTTTTGCTTCCTTTTTCAAGCTTCTTGGAACCATTGTAGACTATGGAGGATGAGAGTTCTCAGATTTCATCTAAAATATCTTAATTTGTATTCTGAAGAAGAAACAATTTCTCAGGGGATTGAAACAGCAAAAGGTTGAGTAATTAATAACTGAATTTAATTTTTTGTATGAACTAACCCTTTACAGGTACATGTTAGGGTCAATTAAATGTGTTTGACAGCAAATATTTGGGCATGGAATATGCCCATTTGGTTTTTATAATACCGTATGTTCTCAACCAATCTGATCATTGAACTGTCATTCACACTTACCTGGGTTGTTGGGAAGTGCAATGGGTTCAGCTTTGTGCAAGAGGAGAAACAGCCTCTCTGCAGACTTGAGTTGAGTCAGGGTTTGAGGTTCAGCATTGGTGCTGAAAAAAACTCTGCCTGGAATCTGCTCCACCTGACACAAACACAGCAAAACTTTACCAGCATCGTGGAAATGTTAAGTGTGGACGTAACATATACTTACAGAAAGCAGATACAGGTTATTTAATAATAAATCATAATTTATTGTTTTAAATGAACAACATTTGCTCTGCTGTCTGACGTATGAATACGTTTAGTGAATGCCAGTTTCATAAAAGAAATGTATATAGTTTATTGTGCACAATATGAGTCAATATGAGATTTAAAAAGATTAATGAAATACAATGAGATAAACTGACTTGAGAAGCGCAGAGTTTCTGTCGCACCTCCTGGGCCAGCAGCTCCTCCATCCCCGCGCCTGCCGTACAGTACAACCGTCTCATTTTCTCCACAGCTGCTTTACAATTAATATTTTACAATGAATGATCTTAAATTCAGCCAGCAGCTGTAAACACAGTTCTCTTCCGGGTTGATGCGCCTGTCAAAATTAAACCCCTTACGGAGAGTTTAGCTATTACAGAAGCCCTGAACGAAGTACCTTAATGTTTTACTGCAATTTAGCATTTGCTATTTTTTTCTACACAAATTATTTTCTTGTAACTTCATAATAATAATAATTTGACATGCTCTTTACAGTCTATTCAAGTTTCTATTCTATCGTTTTTGTTGGGAAAAATCTAATTCAAACATTTTTCGTTCGTTTCTATTTATGTTTATATTTTAGCGTCTACAACTAACGTTAAATAAATCATTATTTTGGAGTAAATTTGAGTTTTGCGATATTTCTCAGAGCGTCTAAGACTTTTGTTTTGAAATATTTTACAGCCTTGTGAAAGATTTTGACGTTTACAGCGTCTTTCATGGCCATGCATAAAATAAACACTGGAAATGCCATTAACTACTAGAGCAACACTTTAAACAATGTTTAAACTTAGAAACGTCGTTTATTGCCAGTGGTGAGCTGAAAAGTTATGTAAACCCACTTAATAGTGAAAAAATTTAATTTATTAGACATTTGTTGAGTTTGTTGCTGTGAAAATTTATCACAATAAAACTGATTTTCTGGAATGGAAACGTTAATAAGAAACAACTGTCAAATAGGTTATAAACATGAAATAAAAAACAGAAAACAAGAGCACACTTTTTCACGAAATGAATCTGCCAAGTTTATATTTAATGTCTTTTCTTTTTACATTTGGGGGATTCTTCCATTCTCCATCTGAATGTCCACAGACAGGCGAAGGTGCAGCATCTCTCATCTGCTCTACTTCCTTGCCACTGCAGAGAGCTGATCCCTGATGCGACCCAAACCATCTATCATAGTGTCCAGCGTTTCTTTGCTCAGCTCCATTGTTACTGTAGACTCACTGGGACCACCACTAATGCACGGAGTATCCTGGAGCTACAAACACAAATGCACAAGCTATTTTAAAACACTCTAGTCAGTTTTCTAGTCTTATAAGAGGTACATTCAACCCGAAACGTACATTATCTGTGCCTGCAATAAAAACATACAGTAAATAAAAAGTATTTCATCCTAAATTTTTAAAAAATGGACAGATGGTTGATTCCTGTGAGTTATTATGTAAAGGAATTTATCGTTAATTTGGTTCTCAGGTTTTTTTCTTTTAATAAAAAAAATATGCTAAAAACTCTTTAGAAAAAAAAAACTTCCGAAATAGCAAGTTTGAATTGTTTTTATTTACATCAAGTGATTTAAAAAAAGAGGAAATTAAAAAAAAACTTCTACAAATAAATACTGTTTTACAGTTGTCCCTATGTTTCAGTCAGTTCTGTCTCATTAGCATTAAAGTTAACATAAAATGCATGCAATACATCTTAAAGGCTGGCTCGGAAGGACGTCATTTATTTGAGGAGGAGCTAACAGTAATCAAAGATGCATTCTATCGATGTATCGTATGATTTTAAGCTTGTTTTGTTTTTTTGTTTTTTGAGGACGACAAGCTTAAAGGTCAGGCCGTCACAATTTTTTACAAGTGAAAATATACATTTCTGGTAGAATGTCCCAAAAATGCTCTCTCCTCACAATAACACTTTCTTTTCTATTTACAAAAAATTAGGAACTCTAAATATATTCTATTAGATTAGATTAAACTTTATTGTTATTGTGCAAAGTACAGTAAAGAGTCAATGAAATGCAGTTGGCATCGAACCAGAAGTGCAAATAACAAGAGCGTAAAAATATAAATGTATAAAGATATGTATATACAACTTTGAGATATAGTGTAAGGTTAAAAAGGTCCTTTCAGGTCAGCAATGTAAAGTGTGTTATATTTTTTCTGCTTTTATTGAAAGTATATTAACTTTTGCATTATTTGCCGGTACATTTTTAAAAAAGTTTAAGGAGAACAGTCACCAACTCTAGTAAACTGGTGGGGATTTAATTACCAAGCATGGAAGACATTTACAAAGAAAGAGTGGAAACAGTACTGAAAAATCATGCTCAAGTAAAAAAACTATTGCTTAGTCAAAAATATAGTGCAAGTACAATAAAAGTATCTGTTGTAAATATTACTCAAAATATAAGCAAAAAGTAGCCCTTTTGAAAGTACTCAAGAGTAATGAGTATTATGCTGTGAAATGCTGATGTAATTTGTGCATGTGTGTGTAAACGCAACCTTCTGTAGTGCATTTAGTGATTGTTTAAGACTATCTGAAGATTTCAGTCATCATCCTTCCTATTCTCCTCAGTCACATGCAGTCTAAAAAGCCTGTGGGTAACTGCATGTAAAGATTGGACATCTTATTGGACACTTTTAATGCTTCCAAATGGTTTGCTGCATTTATAAAAGCACTCGTGTCTTGATTTGAATTCTGATTGAATTTTTCAGTATGATGTGATTTACTGTTTAATGATGTGAAATTTAACTGGACCGGTATCACAGGGCTGATTTTTCCACTCAGCCAAAAAATAAAGTAGTTGCTGCCAGTTGAAGGAATAAAAGAACAGTAAAAGAATTGATGCGACACTAAAAATTTACTCAAGAGAAAGCAAGAGTAGACATTTTCAAAACTACTAAGTGAATTACAAATCCTGAGAGAAAAAATACTAAATTACAGTAATTTGAGTATTATGGCTGCCCCAATCAGTTCTTCATTTCACTTCCATCTGAGTAAAGTTACAGGCTTATCAAAAAACAAGACAAAAAACAGCACTTATCAAAAAACAGGACAAAGTTTTCTTATGTCCCAAAGGCAATAAAATTGATAAAAAGGTAATAAAATTTATAAAAAAAATAAAAATAAAAAAAAACTTTAAGAAGTTTTAAATTAGTTGGACTGTTTATTTTGCTTTACCCTATTTATTTCTCAATTATTTTGTATATTTTGTATGTATATATATATATATATATATATATATATATATATATATATATATATAATGTTTATAATGTTGAATGTGAAAATGCTGTTTTTGCTTGTTGTTATGTGTAATGGCTTTTTTATAATGCTGCAGAATTATTTCCCTTAGAGGACAAATACACCTACCAACTTAAGTGAGATTAAGGATGGAGGGTAGAGACCAGTTTAATGCAGTTATTGCAAAATTAACATGGTGCAAGAGTATTGACAGTGCATTATTCAAGGAATATATTTATTTATTATATAATTTATTAAATAAGTATTTACATATTAACATAAATATTACATAGAATTTCTAACTTTAAGCTAACTTTTTACTTCTATATTATATATGGTTGCTTTTGGAAGATGTATTAAACAGAAATCTGACTAGTCAAAATTACATTTCAAACCAAAATCAAATTCTTATGACAAACAATAGTATTTAATTTGACATATTAATGTAAATATAGAATCAGCACTGAAAATATCCACAGCTTACTTTCATTTGTAACAGACAGGTTGGCACAGCCATACGACTCAGGGAGTCTGATGCAGTTTTCATGTCCACTCGCCACTCCATATCCACCAGCTTTGGCAGCGAAACTATTAAAACACATCTTATCTTCAGAAAGGTTTCATAATGAATCACAAACATGAAGACGATAATTGTAACACAATAAAAACTGCATTCATCTCACTTTGATTTGCCAAAGCTTCATTTCTCCATTTCACACTAAGAAAAAAAAAATCACAACAGGAAAAGTTTTACACACAGAGTAACTCATTAACTCATTTAATAATCTGAAAGATAGACTGAAGAGGCATCTACCTGTTCTCCAAGAGAATTTTGGTGATCAGGTTCTTTAGGTTTGAGTGGAACGATTCTGGGAAAATTGACAGGATCTGCTCCGGAGATGTTAAGTTATGATACACAATGTGATGTGAAAGTGTGTGAAATACAGTCAGCAGCTGTTGAGGAATACACAAAAAAACAAAAAACACAATTTCAATTTTTTGCACTCTTAAAATTGAACCCATTTAACATGAGGAACATTAAGACATTACATGGTATCAGAGTATGGCTCAAAAGATTTGGAAAGTAATATTTCAAGACCAAAAATATCTACATTGTTTTTAAAACTACATTAAGCCTTTCATAATGTTTTCAATTTAACTGGAGACATTTGTAAAAAAAATAAAATAAAATAAAAAATCTTTCGAAGGATGAAGAGTTACTAATGTATTTTACAAATGTATTATAGTTGAATTAAAATGGTATCAGAACATTTGTAATAATGACAATTTATGAATGAAAAAAAAATTGTTAACATGATAGTGATCACACTAGTGACCATAAATAAATAACAAATACAATTTCAATACACATTCACAAGTTTATTATGAAATAACAGCGTACGTTAACTAAAAATAAATGTACACTATTATCGTATTATCTTTTAGTTTTCTCACAAAAATGAAACACCAACTTATCATGACTGGTGTTAACTTTTATTACAACTGTATTGACCAAACGAGCATTTTCTGTGTTCTTCCAATTACATTAGTAAGCATCATGAAACACAATAGACGGAAAAATTAACGCATGAAAACGCTTGAACCCACCTGGACCGCTTCATTGTGAGAGACAGAGAGAGCATTGGCAGTTTTCTCCACTACAGACTGACTCTTGAAGGCTCCGGCTGGGAAACTCTCTGTGCAGATCTGCCGAACAGCATCTTTAGACGGAGCCTGAATCAAAGTAAAAGATGGCAGAATACACGAGCTCAATCAAGCCAAGTAATTCAGCGATATACTAAACAGTATGTGATATTACACTACCTTTAACAGCAGTTGCAAAGCAGTGAACTGATCTTGTGTCATGAAAGCCATGTTTGATACTGAAAGTCACGTGAATTCACGATTTGATCTGGTGTCAAAATAAAAGTCCGACGAAGGCGACTTCGGGCCTAGATTTTAGATTTAGCTTCGAGTGCGTATAGTTCTAAAAAAAAAAACGTACAGCTTTACTTTACTAGGCCTTAACAAAAACAAAACTCGTAAGCAATATATTCAGCAAATCTGTTCTAAAATTTAGATGTTAGTCAACCATCAAAATGAACAGGGCCAGATTTACTTGAGCTATTTAGCTGAACTGAAGAACAAATTCTTGTCTGACAGAGGATGCAATTTAAAAAGCATCAATTTTATAAACATGGTAAATTAAATGCAAAAGTTCTCCAATAAACCATTGGTCAACCAGTTTTAGAAAATGCTGCTTAGATAACAAAAACATCCTTTTTTGGTGAACAATTGGTTTAATTATTACAAAAAACATCCTTAAATGTTAGAACAGAGTCACTAACACAACCATTGTTCAAACCAATTATGCCATTGGATACAATAGTATGTGGATGCAGCCTTTATGACGCAAGTTGAGACTGCATCACTCAGCAATGCAATGTCAGACAATGCACTTAATGGAGTGAGTGACCTCACTGTAATAGGTAGGGTTAGGTGAGTGCATTATTACAAAAAAAAAATAATAATTGGATGCAGCTCAGATTGCACTGCACCAAGTCTGCGACCAGAGCCCTCTCATTGGATATGAACTTAAATTCTAAACTCAAAAACACAATCCATCCACTCAAGACCATAGTTTTTATAAACATTTATTTTGACAAGCTGCAGGGACAGCTCAAACAAGAACACCATATTTCTTAAGAACGTCAGTATATACTGCGATCTTGCTCTCAACGTTCTTTTCAGCCTGCTTAGTCAGCTTCATCTCAACTTTCTTCTTGGAATAGCGCAGCTTGGCCTTTTCCTTTCTCTTCTCCTCCAGTGTGGCGGTGATGGCCTGGTACTTCCAGCCAACTTCATGGGCCAATCGTCCAAGCAGGGCAAACTAGTGAAAGACAGGAAAAATACAATTTATAACGGGGAACAAGCAGCACTAAAACAAGTATTAAATGAGTCTACATTGGTTCAAGCTTTCTGGACTTTAAACTAAAATGGGTTAAATCTGTGGCTTTTTGTCTCAGCTGGTAGTGCATGAAGTGGACTCATGGTCGTTAAACTCATACTTACTGTGGAAAAACATCACTGACAAAAAGCAAACGTTAGAACATATTGTACACTTAAATTGAAACATTAAGGGGAGGGTTGAGCACTCACTTTGCGTGTGGGTTTCAGACGCACAATCTTGAGAGCAGCTGGGACAACCATGCGCTTTCTCTGTGGAACACAATCAGAGATTAGAAACCACGAGAAAGACCAATTGCTGACTCCAGAAGTAAAGATGTCTCAGTTAATTTTGTGTATTCTCAGTCGACACTCAAACAAGGCAGAAAAGTGGCATCATTGACAGAATTAATCTGTGAAATTGTGCAAGACCGAATAAATCTACCTTGTCATAAGGTGGAGGGATGCCATCAAACACCTTCAGCCTGTCCAGAGCAGCCTGACCCCTCTTGGTTTTGTGTGGAAGCATACCTGATTAAGAAAAAAAAAACACATCAGACACTCATCCATTGTAGAGATGTAACCGAACAGACAAGCATTGACATTCAAACTCAGTAGTCAGATCCGTAGATGGGTATCAGCAAACTGGACTCAGATTCGGGATAAAGGAGTTCATCACTGTTTGAAATGTAGCCAATGCTTGCTTCTACAACAGAAAGATAAATCTCACCTCTTACAGTCCTCCAGAAGATTCTGCTGGGGGCTCTGAAGTGATATGGTCCACGGGAAGGGTTGGTGTTCATTCTCTTGCGGAGGAAAGCCAAATACTTCACTGCACAAACACAACATCCAGTTTAGTTTCAACTAATCAAAATGACTTTACTGACTACAAATAATCTAAGACTCAAACTCAGTAGTCAGATCCGTAGATTGGTATCATCAAACTTGGCTCAGATTCGGGATAAAGGAGTTCATCATTGTTTGAAAACTTGTAATTTAGTATCACATGTGTCAAATTGCTTTAGGGCATGTTCACATTCAGCAGTTTTGGTCCAATTAAATTTGAATAGTTATGAGCATGTGGCCATCTGAAGACTGATGCTCACAAAAATACAGATATAAATCAGTCCACTTCCAATTAAACTTTAGACTGAAAGATACACAGCAAACTAAAATAAATGGTGTGATTAAATGGGACTTTAAGGCAGAATGCTTCAACACCTGATACTATGAATCAAGCTTCCATGTTGCAGAAAATCTTGATGCAGTTTTAAATATCTTTAAATTTTATAACATCTTTATAAAGCTCAACACATGTACAAACATGTTAAGCAAAAAAAAAAAAGACAGTTTGGGACCCTATTAGGAAAGACCTTTGGGGCAGAGGGGGGGACTAATCAGAATAAAGTGATAATATTACATGAACAGAGCTAAAACGCATAACTTTTTCAGTCAGGACCAAAACAACAAGTGAACACACCCCAAGACAACACACTTGCTGATGGTCAAACTTACATTTGTTGCGGTAAAAGTTTCCAGAGATGTTGATACCCTCACACCTCACCACCACAATTTTGTGGCCTGCAAACAATGCAGATTCATTAGTAAAAAGAATGGTTATAAATATTTGATACCAGACTTTATCTACCTTAAATATGTAAACTCACCCAACAGCACTTGCTTGGCCACAATAGCGGAAAGACGACCGAGGAGATGGCCTCGGCCATCAATGATCAGAACCTGGTAATAAATAAAACCCAAGTTAATTAGATACTTATGCTACTTAGAGTTCATAATATCAAAATATTAATTAAGCTTTTTGTCTCAGATGGTAGTGCACGTAAAGTATTCTCATGGTCGTTAAACTCGAATACTGAACTGTGGTTGCGAGCTCGTCACCGACAAAAAGCTAATCTGACGTTAACCTAAAAGTAGTTAATATTAGCATATTATAACGCCATACAAAAAAAACTTATTTCGGATATATCGCACAACAGAGCAATGCGTGCTATGGACCGGACACCGGTGCAGAACGTAAGCCCATTTGCGCCGCTGGTTGAGAAAGGCCTATAAACGCTGAACACGCTATAATTTCATCCTAAAGCAGAAGCAGTTGATTTGTAAAGTACCTGAGCGTGGACATCAACGCTACTCCGGGTTTTACAGCACCACGAGTGTTACGATCACTAACAGGCCTGCGACGTCCAGCCTCACATCATGCGTGATCACACACACACACACGTTTCTTTCCCAAAAACATAGTTTTACGTTTTGGACATTATCCAAACTACGCAAAAGGCGGTAGTTGACGTTAACTACTTATAAACCACCAAATACTACATTCCCACGGCGAGGAAACGCGAGATATGAGAATGTAAATTGTGCCACTCGAACGCACCTTATTGAATCGGTCCGCCATGATGTGGGAAAAGAAAGACACGCGGGGCCGCCTGGCGTAAAAGACAGGGGCGAGGGCGGAGCTTTCGCGTCATCGGAAATGACGTTAGGATTAGCTGTTCTTCAGAGGACGTTTGTAATGCCTGTTATTTATGTCTACTGCCATCAGCTGGGCTCCAATGAGCTACAACGCCTTTAAAATATTAAAAATATAATAATAAAGAAGTGTTGTCTCGAACATTTTCTAAAGCAGTGTTTCTCAATCTGATCCTGAAACCCAGCATTACGGCATATTTTAATATATCTCATATTTATACAATATTGGGTCATTCATTGGTGTCAGAACCTTTAATTGTCTGGTCAGATGACATAACCTATTTATATGACTGAAAGTAACAGTTAAGATACATTTAGCTCTCAAACCAATAGTTAGCTTTAGTTAGTTTAGCTAATAGTTAGCTTTCACCAAACGTATTGATACCAAGACACACTTTTACATTCGAGACAATTTCTTGTTTATTGTCAAAAGAGGGAAAATGCACTGGGTTAATACACAATGTGTTGTTTCAGTTATATAACCATATCTGTATTATAACATGCTTTTATAATAGTATAATCACAGAGTTCACTGTTTAGTAAATAAGCAATTACAAATATTCAGCAGTTTCACAATTCATGTGTTGTATTTTCTGTCTTAATGCCTCAGTCATCATGTTTGAGTTTCTTGATTTTGCTCTCGTGGCGGGTGATCTCATGCTGTAATCTCTCGATTTCCTTCTTGTGATGGTCAATCTCTTCCTGGTGGTGTCTTCTCAGAGCAGACAGCTGTTCTTGCTCTTTTCTCCTGTGAAGGAAATACAATGACAGAATAGGTCATGAAGTAACGGTTTAGGTTGCTTTACATTCAGTTATTTTTTCAATAATACTCAGCTAATGGCCAGTAGATATCAAGTATAAGCAATTACATAATTATCAGCTCAAGCAAAACCACTCACTTGAAGTACATCTCCTCCTCAGCGGCCTGTTTCTTGCCAAATGCACCTCCAGCCTGCCTCACGGCACCTCCACCACCACCTCCTTTCCCAGCACCTTTACCCAGTTCACCTAACTTTATCAGAGAGAGAAAGAGAGAGAGAAGGTTGCACAAGACAAAACAAAACAATTTATTACTCAACTAGTAATTAGTGACTGATAGGCTGACAAGCACCGTGTATATATGGATATATATATATATATATATATATATATATATATATATATATATATATATATATATATATATATATATATATATATCCTGTAAAAGCAAGTCTTGCTGATGAAGGACAAAGATTGCAGAACTTTCCTGAATGTAAACAAAGGGTCACAACACAAGGGCACCCTCAAATCTATTTATTGCGTTAAAACGGTTCGGTGTTGACAAATTTTGATAACTTAGTATTTAAAACGTAAAACTAACATATGATAACATTAAGACAAAGTCAAAGCTAACGTAGTACTTGAGAACAGATTGCGAGTGACACTGCGTGTTACAGT